GTGGGGTGTGGCCGGGGCTCGCCCCGTGGGAACCTCTGGAGGCTCGGAGTGACCTTGCCCAGGGGTGAGGGAGCTGGGATTTTATCCTCGAGTCCAACCATACTTGGCCATGACTGGGCTGAGCAGGGGCCATGAGGTCCCCGGCTGCCTCACTTGCAGGCTGGGAGAAGCTTTGGCACTGGCTGGAAGAGCGGGTGCTGGGGAGACGTGAGCAGCGACAGAGACCATCCGCTGTCACACGGCCTGCATCCCAAGCCAGGAGGAGGCACAGTGGGCAGGTGTCGGCTGGCCCGTGTGGCCGGCACTCTGCATTGTCCCAACCTTCCTGTCCCCACAGATGTCAGTTATCTCCCCCTCCCTGCGGGTGGTGACTTCCATGCTGCCTGTCCCTGTGGCTGGACACAGGAGTGGTGGTGACCCCTCCTGAACCATGGGGAAGGGACAGGACCCCGAGGGTGGCTGATCCAGGGCGGAGCTCCGTCCCTCCCACAGGAAGTGCTTCACGGGTGAGGCAGGCACTTCATCCACTGCTCCAGGTGGAAGGAGGAGCCTTCTTGGGAAAAGCCCTGGAAATTAGTGCTGAGCTTAAACCCCGAAGCTGCCTCTGTCCTCCCTCAACTCTTCTGCACTTGGGCTGGAGCACAGTGGAGCGAGCTGCTACGTGTGCTTCTTTCTGATGGCTCCTGCACTTCCATTTGCAGGGATTGAAGCAAATATCAGGGCCTCGGCCATCCAGGTGCCTCTGGTCTGGTCTGGTGGGAAGCTGGGGCTGGTGGGTTGTGTGCGCCAGGGGAGGAGCCAGCCCTGAGCAGGCCCTGGCCCGCAGGCAGGGACAGCTGCCCCATCTGCTCAGGTGTTCAGGGCAGGAAGGGCCGGAAGAGATCTCTAACTAAGGCAGCTGGCAGCTCCAACCCTGTGGTCTGCGAGCACAAAGACGCTCAAGCCTGCAGGACGAACAGCAGCACAGAAAGGACAGCTATGGAAGCTGAGCTCTCGTTGAGAGGCCCCAGATGCCTTGTTCATCTGGACCCAGACCCAAAGCTGAGCTCAGAGCACCGCACGCTCCCCTGGGGTCCCCGGAGGTTAGGAATCAACGCACATTCCTCCTCCCGTGTGACAGGCGCCAGCCCGCATCATGTCCCTCACTCGGGAGGATGGCAGAGGCCACCCTCCTCAGGGAAGCGACTGCAGTGGGAGAGGAGGTGGGCAGGGGAATGTCGCTGCCATTGTGGGCCAGAATCATGCAGAGCCTGCGAGCTCCGCTCAGCTCACACACAGCTGCTGTGCTTATCAGCTTGGCTCGGTGCCCTGGCATTTCAGGGGCTGCTGGCCTAGTTACAGACAAGCTGCACAAAAGAGCTGGGCTCTACCTGACCCAGGAGAAGGCCAAGGGACAGCCAGAGCTGGACAAGGGCCGGCCTGCAAGGCTCCCCCCATTGTCTGCTCATGGCCGCTGTGGGTACCCTCGCACTGTGGGCTCTGAGGCTGTCAGCACCTCCCTGGGGGACTGTGGGTGGCAGTGTGGCTGCACCTGCATTCCCGAGGACACAGCCACCTCAGCAGCCTCGCTGCTGGGCCATGGCCTTGAAGCCCAGGAGAGTGATGCAGCACTGTCTTTATAGCAAGGGGCAGACTGCAGCCTCCCCTCTCCAGGGATTCTGCACCGGCTGAGGGATAATGATGAGCACTTGTGTCACAGGAAGCCACAGCCAACACGAAGTACCAGGCTGCAAGGGACAAGACACCATAAATACCGCTGTATCAGTTGCGGACACAGAATTGCTGCTGTAACAAAGTACCACAAACCTGGGAGCTCCCAACAGTATAAATTGAGACTCAAGGACTGAGGAGACCACAGGGGACTGGAATCACTTAGAGAGGCATCATGGGGTCTCTGGGGACTGCAGAGTCTGAACAGCACCCTTGTGGACAGGAAGCACTGGGAGTTACACAACATCTACATTCAGTGCTTGGCTCTCCTGAAGAGGGGCTCGCAGACTGCAGACCCGGACAAGGAGCCAGCTGCATCCCTCACTAGTGCGTGGCCTTGAGTGCTCCTCGTCCTCTCCCTGCCTGAGCTCCTTGTCTGGAAAATGAGGATACAGCACGTATCCTAGAAGATCAAATGAAACAGTGCCTCATCGGTAGCTTGCTACACCCTGACACACACAAATGACTCCAGAAAGGCAACCTTTTACATCTTTTCTTTCCACCCAGAGGCTTCATTATGTTCATCTTACAGAGGGGAAACTGAGACTGGAAGAAGTCATAGGTCTTTCCCAGGACAACCCCAGGGCTTGGGCTGAGTCAGGCTGAAGCCCAGGCAGACTGCTCCTCATAGTGAGGCTGGCACAAGAGGTGACGCACCCCACAGGAGAGAAGATTTGAGAAACAGAACCGGCAGGAGCCTGGCTTTGCCAGTACAGCTGCCTGTTGACCTTGAGGCCACCATGGGCTTGAGGATTTTTTAAGTCTTTTGGGGAATCCTACAAATGCCCCCACAAGTGTGTTGAGCTGACTGTCTGCCCTGACTTCCATTCTATGTCTGTTTATTGTAGACGAGGGTGACAATAAAATTCGCATCTCAGGTGGCTCCTGTCACCCTCTTAGACAGCAGAATGAAGGACTGAAGGGTTCTGGCTGACCATGGCCTCTGACTGAGGTGTTCTCTTTATTTTCTTCTTGGATATCTTGGATGTTCTGTTCTTGGATGTCTGTGAGACCTGAATAACTCTGTCTGTTTTCAGCCAGTGTCAGTGGGATCCTGTTCAGTGCAGTCAAATGACAGCTCGACTGAAGCTGCCTCCCTCCATCGCTCCTGGACCGGTATGTGTCAAGTCTTGAATCTTCTCCTACATCCTCCTGCATCTCTCTCCAAACGGGCTTTCTCAGCTTCTTGCAAATAATAATAACAATAATAATAGCAATAGTAGGAAATAACAATTTTTTAATGTACATATGTTTTACCTGGCTACATACACCTTGCTGAGGATTGTCCTGCTACACAGCTGTGCCACAGCAACCATGCACACCCTGAGACTTCGGTAAGAACCGATTAAATACAATTTAAAATCACTAAGTCAGTTGGCACAAAAGGAAATGAATCAGGGACTCTCCAAGGTGCCAAGCCCCTGTGCCCACCCTGAGGAAGCCCTTTCCTCCTTCCAGGATGAATGCTGCAGCCCTCAGGAAAGACAGGGCCTCCAGAGCCAGAGGTCATGAGCCACTGCTTCTGCTGGCCTCCTGTGGCCCCTGACTCAACTTCCCTGATTCCCACTGGAGTCCAGGCCCTCAGGTCCCCCTGGGAAGTGAAAGCTTCAGCTCATTCCATGGCTCAAAGGAAATAAATCATTCACGCCCTTGAGAGAGGTGGATCTCGGTCCTGGAGGGGCCTCTCCCAACCTTGCAGCCCCCACCCCAGCCTGCCTCATCCTCCTGCCCACAGTAGGCTGTAGGAGACCCCAGACCCTCAGGAGCACTGCGAGGCAGCACTTTCTGCTTCAGCGGTATCCCACCTGGAACTGGGTCAGCTTCCGCAGGGCTCTGAGGCCAGGCTCCAAGCACACCCATTTCCTTTAGGCGGAGTTTTCAGAGGATGAGGGAACAGTGGGGGTGCTGGGAGGACGCTAGTGTGAAGCAATCCTCTTCAGATGCAGCGTTGCTTGGCTCCCAGTTTAGGTCAGTGGCTGTAGAGGACTCCAGTGACAGCTCGCACCTCGACGTCTCCAGAGGCTTTGCCGGGGCGTCCCTCGGCCTGCTGTCCTCTCCTGGGACACCCCGCCCAGCCCTCACTGTGATCCTGTTCAGTGCCCCACCCTGGGAAGTGATGGGAGGAGTCCTGGCCCTTCTCCAGCCCTCACACCGCAGGTGCCCAGCAGGGCAGTGCCTGACCCCGCAGGATGAGCAGGGCCCTCGGGAGTTCCGCGAGGCCAGGTCGCGCCTGTGTGTGCATCTTCCTCAGCCTGGGCACTCAAGGCCACGAGGTGGGCCCCAAGCACAAGAGCTTTACCTCTACTAACCCCAGCACGCATCACACCCGCACACCCGCATGCGAGCTGCACACACGCATGTACATGCACACAAGCTGTGCACACACAGGCACACACCCACGCGTGCACACACACGAGCTATGCACACACAGGCACATACCTGCATATGAGCTGCACACACACACACGCACGCACGCACACAGCGCCCCCCTCCCTCTCCCGCTCTTCTTCCCATTCTACCCTGAGCCTCAGGTAAGGAGCCGGCAAAGGAAAGAGGTGTGGGCGACCACACCACACGCCCGTGGAGCCTCCCAGATGTCGGAGACATCAGCGACTCCCACAGGTTCTCCTGTGGCAAAGCTCAAGTGACGGCCACAAGCACCTCAGGGTGGGGCTCCCCCACCTGCTACCCAGTGCAGACCCCGGTAGACAGGGGCTCCATGGACTCAGGCCACCTGGCCACAGGAGGGGCTCCCTGGCGCCCGGGGAGTGGCCTCTCCCTGAGGCTCTCAGGGGAGAGACAGGCAGGACAGAAGCCAGGCAGCTGCTCCAAGCACGGGCTGTGATGGCCTACGGAGCAAGCAGCAGGTGACGGGGGGAGCTGGGGGTGTGGAGCATCAGGAGGCCAGCGCCTGGCCCTCGGAGCCTCACAGGCGCAGAGCTGCAGGCGGGCTGAGAGCCCCGTGGAGCTCTGGACACATCTGGGTCGTGCTCCAGGCACAGCTGCAGCGCCCTCCCCACCTCTGTTCCCCAGGATGAGTCATAATCCCCCGCCTACAGGGCTGCGCTCCTGTCACAGGAGGAGCTGCACCACCATCGCCCTGGGCAATGCACTCTCCAAGTGAGACGGGAGCCAGCGACGCATTGCTCATTCCCAGCACGGGGCAACTCAGAGGCTCTGAGCTCGCTCCCTGACTCCTAAGGGGAGAGGAAAGCAGACCTCTGGCTGGCAGTCACCGCTACCCTGGAACTTCCTAGATTCAAGTAAAGACAGACCAAGGCGACACTGGACTCGGTCTTAGCTCCTTTTATTACAACGTCAGGGACAGTCATCGCGGGGAGGGGTGGACACGGAGACTAAGCTGCTCCGCCCGCCTGGGAGGCTGCGGGTCTCTGTGCATGCATCTTGGGGTGCAGCGCGGGGTGCGGACTCTGTGCGGCACTGCTGTTAGTGGAAGACTCAGTGTCTCGGCCGGGCCGGGAAGGGGCCCCGCTAGGACTGGGACCCAGCCTTCTTCTTCTGGAACTTTCTGAACTGAGACTGGATGGCCACAGCTGCGCGCTCTGTCTCTGGCGCGTCCATGTCGATGTCAAACTCCTCCTGGACTTTCTTCTCCCCGTCTGCAGTGAGGGAAAGACAAACACAGGCGGTCAGCGGCTCGACGAGAAGCCAGCGCGGCCCCAATGAGTCACACACTCGGGGGCTGATTGCCGCCACCTGGGCTATGCCATGGGGCATCCAGACAGCTTGGAACCTGCTGTCCTCTGCCCGAACTCCACACCTCGGGGGGACACTGAGAAGGGGGACACGGGGTCAACACTTCATATATTTTTGCATGTGGTTTTATTTTGTTTTGTTTTGCAGTACTGTGGGTTGAACCCAGGGCCTTTGCACCAAGCTGTATCCCCAGGCCCTTTTTTATTTTTTATTTTGAGGCAGAATCTAAGTCCCTAAGTTGCCGAGGCTAGGCCCAAACTTAGGACACTCCTGCCTCAGCCTCCTGGAGCGCTGAGATTATAGGTGTGCACCACCTCTGCAGCTCTGCTTGATTTTATGCTCCTATTGGCCGCAGTTGACCCATTGTTTTTTAGACGATACCTGTGCTGTTACTTTCTCCTGAAGGCTCATGGAGACACCATGTGAACAGTGCCCGAGCACTGGGGCGAGGTAGCCCAAGTCACAGGCCGGTTCCCCAAGACTCTGCATGCTCCTGAGGCCAGAGAGACTTTCCTGTTGGATTCAGGGCCTGGGTTTTTATCATCCTCATGACTGAGGGACTCCGTCTGGCCCCACAGTTAGACTGAAGAGTCACAGACTGCAACCCTGCAGTCCTGCAAGGTAGGATCAGCTCAGCGCCTGCTGAGGCGGGAGGATCTAACCCATTGTTTCTGTATGGTCTGTTGGAGGAAGGCCCTAAGCCCAGAGGAAGGGAAGGTGCGGGCTGAGTGTCCCTTTGCTCTGTGCACTGACTGAGCAACCTTCGGCCCAGCAGTGGAATCGAATAAATAAAATCCTCCAGCCTGATGGGACAGAGTCCTTAAGCTCCCGGGCATCAGAGGCACCCAGGCCCCCTTTCCTGTCCCCTTGTCTTTCCAGTGCGGACACCTGGGCAGGCACAGACTCAGGGCTACCCCACCCCACCCCCACAGCCCAGGGGAAAGGTGGCCTGAGTCAAAGGCTGAGTCAGGCAGGTCCTTTCCCCAGATCTGGCCCATCCACAGGGGCCGTGAAAAACCAGGCCCTGGAATAGCTGGAGCCAGAGCCGGGGCTGAGGGGCTCTGGCCACCAGCAGGAGCACGAAGGTCTCAGGGGGCACAGCCATGCCCGACTTCCCCAGGCGACCTGGGCCATCTCGAAGTGCAGGTGACAGCCCTAGCAGCGTGGACGTGGCCCCGGGAAGGAAAGCGGTCCATCTCCTCCCTCCCTCTCTGCCCACTCCTCTCCTCCGTGACAGAAAGGGAGAGGGAGAGAACAGACGGATAATAGATGTGGATTAGTTAAATGATCTATGTTAGAGATGTATGTATGTATGCAGAGTGATAGAGGCAGATAGAGATAATAGAGACCATAAGATGATAAATTAGATAGGGCAAGAGACAGACAGACAGACAGACACATAATAGACAGACCCCTACTGATGCCTGATAGACCAAGAGGCAGACAGACAGACAAGCGCAATGCATCCTGATAGCCACGCTTATTCCGGCCCTGCCCTGTGTGCTGTCCTCTTCCCAGACCCTCCCACAGCCACTGTGGTTTTCCAGAGACACAGCAGGTTCCACCTGCAGCCCTAGGTCCCCCTTCATCTGGGTCGGGGGACACTGGCCCGGCCTTTCCGCCCGGGTCAGGCGGGGGGTTGTCAGCCCCAGCCAGAGGACCGTGGTCTTCTCTCTCAGATTTTCTCAGTTTCCATGGGAGAAGGGGTCTTGAGTGCACAGTGGCAGGGGACGCTGGGCTGCCCTGTGCGACCCAGGAGAGTCCACGCGGTACACAGGACAGGGCAGCTGTCCCCTGCCACATGCCCGGCCGCTCACAGGATGGTCTACACCGCAGGGAATCGGGGCAGAGGACCACTGCAGGGGCAGAAGCTCCCTGTGACTCAAGCAGAGGCTTATGAGAGACACAGTCAAAAGACAGGCAACTAAAAGGAACAGACACTTCTCAGAAGTCCGAGTGGCCAATAAATACAGGAAAAATCCTCCACGTCGCTGGCCATTAGCGAAACAATGCTGAGATTCCATCTTTCCCCAGAAAGAATGGCGTCATCAAGAAATCAAAGGACAACAAATGCTGGAAAGGCCGTAGGGAAAAGAAGCCTTTCTGCATTGTTAGTGGGACTGTAAACTCGTACGCCACCATGGAAATCAGTATGGAGAGTCCTCGGAAAACTAGAGCCAGAAACTCCATTCAACCCAGCTACTCCCCTGCTAGGTATTTTCCTGAAAAAGTTAAAGACGTCACAGTACAGTGAACCATGTACACCCATGTTTATAGCAGCACAACTCATAAGACCAAAATTTTTAAAGCGGCCTTCATGCCTCTCAGTAGATGGATGGATAAAGAAAACATGGTATTTACACCATGGAGTACTACTCTATAGTGTACTACGTTATACAAAAGGGTAAACTCGAGTCATCTGTAGGAAAATGGATGCACCTTGAAATCCCTGTGTTAAGTGAAATAAATCAGATGCACAAGCTTAAATCTCACCTGGCTTCTCTTATAAGAGAAGCCCAAAGTGTAAAAAATTACACAGCAACCTAAAAGATAATAGAAAACAGGGAGACAGATCTTTCTCAAACAAGGAGGAAACCAAGAAATGGAGAGGGGTAGGCAGGGAGGGCCCTAAAAGAACTGAGGCGTGCCACGCACAGGTACCAGCTCCCCACAAAGAACGCACTCATTTAGGAGCCGAAAAACTGTACTAATAAAAAAATTTTAAATGCTTAATTAATGCTACCCCGCCAGCCTGGGCCCAGAAGGTATGGATGTGAAATACAAACTGCCCTGCACGGGGACTTGGGAACAAACCTTTAGTCTCAGCAGCACTTACAGCACCAGGAATTGGCATTGTCCATAAGAGGTCAGGGTCCCAAGCCTCCTGCCCCCAAGGACTGGGACTGCACCGGGCAGCAAAGGGGAGAATTCGCCACAATTCAGGGAGACAAGGGGTTTCTCTTAGGATTAAAATGCCACTGCAACCTGAAGGTTTTCAAGGGCCTGGTTTTATAAAAGTGATGGAAAAGCCAACCACATTACTTTCTGACAAATGACAAATGCAGATGCAGAAAATTGAGTCTACTTAGGGAACACATAATGAGATGGTAAGACTAGGTCCTAAAGAGCAATTTTGCATGATATCTTAAACTAATACCTTCAGCCAGAAGTGATGTATTGATCTTCCCTTGCGTGAAAAATATCACTGTTTAAAAAGCAACCAGGGATTTTTAGGGAACCCTTGCCTTCTGTTTGGTCTGGAGAGTCCCCACTCCCTGGGGACACTCTCTCTGCACTCTCAGGCGCCGAGACAGGGAGCTCCTGCCCCTGAGCAGGCCAGGGACAGGGAACGGAGGGGACACACTGTCAGCAGAGAAGGAACAGCTCCTCGGGCTCCCAGCCACAGGGATCAGCGAAAGCAACGTAAGGTCCCGGGCGGCCAGACATGGTCCTGGCAGCCAGGAAAGGACAGCTCAGCTCCGGACGCACAGGACTCAGCAGGAGCCAGGGAGGCTGGAGGAGGGGAGACGAGGTTCATAGCTTGTCCCCAGCCAGGGCCTCTATTCCCAGGCTGGGAGCTTGCCGAGGGGCCTCGAGTGTCCCTGGTGATGGTGACAGGGATCCAGGATGCACATGGGGGCCACCAGCAGGACCAGCGGCTCTTCCCCTGCAGACACCTGGAGAGAGGACTCAGCAGGCCACGGGAAGGCCCAAGGGCCCTGGCGGTTCCTTCCATGCCTGGGGAGTCCCGAACCTGCGCCTTCACCAGGCCATCACTGCCCATTTCTCTAACCCTTCCTTTCCTCCTGGATGCTCCTGTCCCCTGGCCCTGCCAGAGTGAGCTGGGGGTGGGCACACTGGCCGGACGCCCGAAGGCCCCACCAGGCCCGGTACGGAGGAGGAGGCTGACTGTCACCGCCGGTCACCAGTGTCCAGTCCACACCTGTAGCTGGTGGGCTGAGATGAGCGAGCCAGCCTCTGCACCAGCTCTGGGGCAGCGTGGCACCAGAAGGCATCACCGAGTCACAGGGCAGAGGGAAGCGGCCACAGGCGTCCAGGGGAAGACTTCCACCCTGGGACCGGGCCTGGGACCTGGAGCGAGCCCCTGCAGGCTAGAACAGTGACCACCCCCGGGACTGGCCAGGGAACAAAGGAGCCCTCCCAGCCCTGACCCTCCCCATTCCGGCGAGGCCACAGAAGAAGTGGGTGTGGGGGTCTGGACAGAGCCAGGCCTGGGGCTGCCTGGTCGGCTGTGTGACCCGGAAGAGCTTCTCAGCTCTTCTAGGGCTCAGTCTCCCCATTTAGGAAATGGAGAAGGAAAATCATTTTCTGAAAGCCTTCTCTACCCAGGTCCCAGATCAACACCTTATCAGAAGCACAGCCACAGGGCCAGCCCTGCACGGGCACGCGGAGGAGCCGAGGACAGCAAGGGACCCGGGGCTGATCGGTGGTGAGACTCCGGGCCCTGGGCGCCCACACAGAAGCGTCTCTTTCAGGACTTCTTTCACCACCTGCATGATGAGCGTGGGCAGCTGGGCTTGCTGCGGGGAGAAGCACCTTAAGCCACGTCCAGGGAGAGCCCTGCCTGCCGTCCACAAGGCCCACAGCTCAAAAATCAGTGACCTGGCACGGGGACAAGGCAGAAGGACACCCTGGACTCCACAAGGCCCCCAGACGCTCAGTCCAAATGTCACTGTCATCACCAGCCTGCAGGGGGCCAGGACCACGTTTTTATTTGGGATTCCACTGCCTGGACAGCAAGCTCGTGAGCAGCTGCCCTCGAGGCAGGCTGGGTGAGGAGTATTCTCCCCAGACCCTCCACACTCTGTCCCCAGCTGCACATCTGTTGGCTCCAGCGTCCATCAGGGGCCCTGGGGCACAGCTGCCTCCTCTTTGCGGACAT